TGGGAAGAGCAGTAGAAGGGCCAGAAAGGTTGTCAAGGACCTTCTCCCTTGCTGCCGTCAAGGCTCCTTCTCGGGTTCCCAAAAGCTTCAGCAGTGGCCAAGGCTGCCACTCCTGGGAGAACTCAGCCCTCCGCTAAGAAGGATTATGCCAAGGGAAAACCTCTACTCGCTTCCCAGACGAGGAGTTCCAGGTGGAGGAAGAAGGGGGAGAACAGAAAGGGAGAGAGCCTGTAAGCACAATAATTAACACGGGATGGTGTCATCCTTCCAGACGACTATTTCAAGGCTGCTGTCCAAGGGAGGAGCAATTTCAATCCAGTAGAAGATCTTTCTCTGGTTCTCTTGTTTACGGCAAGTAGGTGTGTTACCTAAGGGCCTGGCTCAATACAAGCCTCCTTTAGGAATCGGCCTTCTGGATCCTTTAATTAAAGACTCAGCAGCCGTGTGTGCCGTGCCGCGCGCCGCTGGTGGTCGGCCTAGAACTAGTGAAGGCACGGGAGGGTCGGGCCCCAGCTCGCACGGGGGTCTGGCTCTACATCTGCTTGGGAACTTGCGGGATGGTGTCAGGTGAGCTGGAAAGCCTGGGTGGGAGCTCCAGGCTGAGCTCCTGGGGACTGAACTCCATGCCCTTGACATGTGCCTGTATTTGGGTGCCTGTGAAACTACCCTGGATGCCCAAGCAACACCGGGGAGCTTCCCGGGGTCAACGATGCATTGCACCTGCCAAGATGGACGTGCCGCTTCCTCAGCCCACCTGTTGTCAGCCTCCAGGTGGGTCGGCTTTGCCAGGACTCACTCTGTGCACTGTTACTTCTCTGAATCCGCTGGGTACAGGTTTCCAACCTCAGCGCTCCTGTAACCTGGATGATATCTGTGATTCTAGAACTAACGGCGCTAAGATATCTTTTGAAAGAGACACACGTATCTATATTTCTATCTTCTTATAGCGTGTGCTTATATCCCCAAGCACGAATGTGAACCCATCTCCTTTCTGAAGGCTGCCTGGGGGTGGAGTGCCCACCGCACCTGTATTCACAGACCACCCCACTTGTGTGGGTATCGTTCTTATAAAGGCCAGGCTCCAACAGTCTGTGGGTACTGGGAGTCCCCTTAACAGTAACGGCCCGGATTTCACAGGTTCTGATGGCTCCCCCAACACAGCGAGCCCAGGATCTCAGTCCCCTGCCCCACTCTCCAAGAATCTGTGTCTCACAGGTGCCAACAGCCCTGCCCTTGTTCCGCTGGCTCCCCCCCACCCAACTCCACTGATGGCCACGGTCTGCACCCCAAACAGAGAACACCCGGGTCCTCCCCAAGCACCCAGACACCCACAGAATGGAGGTAACAGCCCTCTCCTCCATCCTGGGTGACTCTGTCTCTCCCCCGAAGCAGAGTGTTCCTGTCCCCTTCTCAACGAGCATCCCCCCCCAAGCCCGAATCAACTCCTACAGCTCGGCCTGCAGACCTTCTGGCCTGAAACTGAACACAAATTTACAAAGCTAGGCTGGAGAACATTTCGGAGACAGATACCACCGCGGCCTCAGGTCAGCTTCTCGCCTGGCTACCTGTGCTTTCATCCTCCTTCGGACAAAACCCCATGCAGAATGAGACTGCATGAAGCCACACGTGAGTTCACCGGTCAAGAGGGCATCCTAGCTCATCGTGTCCAGATAGGACCCAGGTAGTCCGAGTACTCCTCGGAGGGTAGGACCAAAACAAGCAGACCCTAAATTACGCGGAGGAGGACAAATACTCCTCTGGTGCCTCTTCTTTCCTTGCATTTTGGGGCAGCTCCTTCAGGGACAAGAATCCAGGGACTATCATCAGGTTATCTCTTTAGTTCTGGAAACATGTGCATGTCAATGAATCCACAATATTGGATTGATATTCCGTGTAAAAATGATCAGCAAAGAGGGGTCCATTCTGTTCTTCTAACGATCTATAGAGTCAGGTCAGATCTCCTTAAATTTATCAGCCAGGTGATAGAGATAAAGGGTCTTGGATAATATGCGGCATGAAAATTCTAAAAAAAAAATATGAAAGAGTTTTGCAAGCTATGACTGGTCCATGAACTTGGCAAGGGAAGGGGACCCTCTCCAGACTCCAGACAAGTCCCTGGGTTACCTGGAAAGAGAGTGGCCTCTGGACTCTTACCCTGGTACTTCCCTTCCCTTCTGAGTGGCCTTGAGCAATTCACCTCACCCCCCTGGGTTTCCATTTTCTCATCTATAAACTGAAAAAACTTGAAGGATTATTGCAAAACATTGAAGAAGATTGAATAGGCACTCCATAATGGTAGCTCTTGGAGCCATTATTTGGTCTGGGAATATTTTTTGGAGAGGAACTATAGGAGCCATATGCTTACCACCATCTCCACGTCTGTCTTTGAAAGGAGACTTTCTCCCTCTTTCTTGCGCGTACGTATGTACGCACACACGTGTGCATGCGTGCACGAACACAGACACGCACATTTGGGTAAGACCGTGGACTCTAGACCCAGACTGCCAGGGTTTGTGTCCTGGTCCCACACACTCTCTCTCTCATGACCTTGGTCACTTTACCTAACTTCTGAATGTCCCTTTTCCTCACCTGTTAAATGGGGACTGTTGTAGTTGATATGATAATTAAATGAGTGAATATATTTAAACCATGAGAACAATGCCTAACACATAAAACAGTGTCCATGGGTTTATTATTATTATTACTATCTATTATTCATTATTCCCCTGGCTGGGGGAGAGGGGGAGAACTCTAATTGTGTGAAATCTGAAGTTCAGTTTTCACCTTCACCACCGACCTCTGTTCTGTAACCTTGTACGCACCTCTCTCTTCTATTTACCCGTCTGCTTTTCATTCTAGAACAGCAGGCACAAGTGGGTCTGCTGGACACCTGTAACCTAATTAGCTCTCAGGTCACACAAGGCTCACCTCTGCTAGCCGCTAAGCAAAGCTTCTCCCAAAGAGATTCTCCTCAAGCAGCTCAGAAACAGTTTCTCTGTCTCAGGTGGTCCCACAGAAGAAGAGGACCCCTCTACACAAGAGACCTGTCTATCAGAGTCAGCAAAGGAAGGGGGCGCGTGAACTTTCATGTTGCTGACACCCGGCCACCTGGGCAGAATGTCCCCACGTGAGGAGAGCTGGTTCTGCTTGACCAAGGAAGACGAGCTACGACCCACAGCAAGGGTGGGTCAGACTGACCTCCCGCCCACCCAGTCCATCAGCAATCCATGAGCAACCGTGCCAGTGATGCTGGTCCCATCGCATGTCCGCTTAGCAGGGCTCTTGGCAGGACACACACACCAAGAGACGCAGCCACCCAGGCCCCCTGGAGGGGTGGACCATTGTAATGGCAGCTGGGTGGCGTGGACGGCGGTGACAGGTGGTGTGGGGATGAGCCCCATGGGCAGACAGGAGGGAGTACTCTGGGGCCAAAGACAGTAGGGATGACGGGAAAGGCCGGGGGGTTGGACCTCCTCTCACCTTCATGTCTTCCCTGGGAGACCTACCAAAGAAAGCAGAAAGAGAAATGCGTTTCCTTTGAGTTCTCTAGAGCAAGCGTTCTCCAGAAAAGAGAATTGACGGGACTGGTTAAAGTGGATTAACTATCTGATGTCCATCCACAGAGGTGTCTATTAATGGATTGAAAATGGAAAGCTGAATCCGTGGGACCGATTAATATTTATGAACAGTTGAACTAGGCAGAGGGGAAAAGGCTTTTATATTGGACAAGGAGGGGAAAGCTTGCATACTACAGATACTATAGAATAGATGTGTTTGAATAAAGTTTCTGTTCTGATCACTGGGCAATCTTATAGAACAGGAATGTGGGATAGAGAAATCACATCTGTATCTAGAAGTTGTCAACTTTCCGCACAGGAATGTTGTTGGTGCCTATTTTTGTGGACCGTTCCATCTTAAAAATAAGTTTGATTTTGTGCAGACAGTTGTGGTAGAAAAGGAACTCCGAAGGGTAAGCAATTTTCCTACCAAAAAATCCAAGTTATTAAAACTACAATTAAGACCTGGCAAGAGTTACTGATTTTATTCCTTTCAATGAAAGGAAATTTGCAAGCAGGAGAGGAATTACAGATGGGGCAAGTTCTGAGACAGGAACTCTAATGACAGCAGGGCAAGAAGTGTCTGCTTCGGGAAATTTCTGGAAGGTTAAGTAGGAAAGCTGAGGGCCAAAATCATACTGTGAGGAGAATAAATAGAGAAAATGGGTTTGCAAAAAACTAAGCTGGGGAATCATGAAAGAAAAGACAAGGACAAAGAAGAAAACCTGAAGACCCAAGTAAACAACAGAAACTCAGCCCTTAAGAGATGCTGAACGTAGTACCCAAGGCACTCAGAAGGCGTGGAATGATAAGTCAGAAGCCAAAACTCAATTACCATTATCGTGCAAAGGAACAAGAGAATGCTTAGCAAAAATAAACGACTTTGAAGAAACAGACTCACAGACATAGAGAACAGACCTGGGGTTGGGGGGGGGGGGGGGGGGGGGGGGGGGAGGGATGGATTGGGAGTTTGGGACTAGCAGATGCAAATGATTATCTATAGGATGGATAAACAACAAGGTCCTACTGTAGAGCACAGGGAACTATATTCAATATCCTGTGATAAACCATAATGGAAATGAATATATAAAAAGAAAGTATATATATCTATATATAGATATATAGATATATCTGTCTCTGAATCCCTTTGCTGTACGGCAGGAATTAACACAACATTGTCAATCAACTATACTTCAATAAAATGAATTAAATAAATAAATGACTTCGCATGTGACTAATACTCGTTTTCTCAGGTAGCTTGTTCTGCAGAGCAAAGGCTGGTAATCACCCCCATCTCAAGGGTTTTCAGCCCATCTAAGTGAGCCCTCCAAGCAGGAGACACAGCCATGATTATTGACCATTGTTATCTTTCAAGGAGAAGCAAACTGACGTTAAGCATTAGCGTTCGCTAGCACTCTCCAATACAGATGACAAAATGCTGGGAGGAATTCTCTCGAGGACATTGATTAATGCTTGCAGATGTGTGCAGCTAAGTGTTGCCTATCTGATCACGCTGGACCGGGAAATGCTCCTTAGCAGAGCGTGGCATGAATTCTTTTTCAAAGTTGAAAACACGAATATTACTGTTACCAGCTCAGAGCAGGGAGACAGCGGGCACCGCAGGCGAGACAGGTACGGCAACTCTTACGGGAAGAAATAGAAACCACGTAGCAACACACATGTACTGAGCACCGGAGTGCCAGGCGTCGGGAGCAATGGTATCACGACAGCTGATAAAGCCCTTCAGAAGTATGTCTTCCGTTAATTCACACATTTCCAAGAGGTGGGTGTTGTTAGCCGTTTTCATTCATGGGCAAAAATGAGATTCCGAGAGGTTAATTGAACTGGAGAGCTCCGGATTTCTAGCTTTAGGTCCTTCCTGTGTACTTCCTGGGTTTAAATTATGGCTGCATCACTTCTTAGCCGAGTTAGTTGAAGAAGTTATTTAGCCTCGGTATCGTCAGCTGTGACTGGAAATACTAATCCCGACCGCCTAAGATGGTTGCAGGATTCAATGAGAGAGCATGTATAGAAATGCCAGACATGGTGCCTGGCACACAGTAGGTGCTCAGCAAAGGTTGGTGTCTCTCCCTTCCCTTTACTGATGCACACACTGGTGGATGGAGCTGGATGTCCAGCCTGGATGGTGCAACACAGCAGAAACAGCACAGAGCGATGCCCCAGGGAGATGCAAGATGGCCCACCGACCAGGGACCAGGGTGCGGCATGAGTCCCCAGGCTTGGGGGGTGGGGAGCTGTGTAGGTCTGGGAGGTACAGGGACTGCAGCAGAGTCTCCAAGGAGGAAAGGGATTTGTGTGGGTGGAGAGATGGGCGAGGGTTGAGCAGGCAGAGAACAAAAACACCGAGGCAGGAAGACGGCGGATGTGTGTGAAGGACACGGAGCTGCTAACCAGCTGGCTGAACGGTGAGCTAAGGCTGGGGAGGAGGGGTGGCGGAGGCTCCCGTGTGGGCATCTTCCACGCTCGAGGATTTCAACTCAGTCCAACAAGAGAAGGGGAACTGGTAAGTCTGTCAACTTGGAGTCATCTATAACAATTAATCCGGTGCCAGTGTGTAGAATGGACTGTCAGGGAAAAGGTGAGAAAAACAAGTAATTTTTAGGGCTTCCCTGGTGGCGCAGTGGTTGAGAGTCCACCTGCCGATGCAGGGGACACGGGTTCGTGCCCTGGTCCGGGAAGATCCCACATGCCGCGGAGCGGCTGGGCCCGTGAGCCATGGCCGCTGAGCCTGCGCGTCCGGAGCCTGTGCTCCGCAACGGGAGAGGCCACGGCAGTGAGAGGCCTGCGTACCACAAAAAAGAAACAAAAACAAGGAATTTTCCTATTTTATGTACACACACAACCCTTTTTATTACAAAATATATATAATCTACTTAATCCCCTTCTGAATGGCTTGCACATTCATTTGCTTCTTGCAATCGATGACAGAGGTTTCAAACAGCGTGTTTTTGCTTTTGTGACATATTATGGTCGTATCTAAAAGTCATCTGATGTCAAACCAAGAATAAAACTTTCAATTATATCGTTGCTCCTATGGTAGAATAGAATCTACTTTAAGGCAATTCACTTTGTCATAAACTTTCCAGGAATAAAACTTGATAAAAAGCAGAGACTCGCTGCATATGACGATAATTAACTCTATACTCAACAAGTATAAAAGAATAACCGTAGGGATAGGTAATTTAGAAGGAAAAAAATAACAGACTTAAACATGTCAAGAAATCATACTGAAGTTTGATACCCATGATCTATTGAGGTATGGGATTATATGATTTGAGAAAAAACAAAATCCAGTAAATACCCAAATTATGAAATGAATTGTATTTTCAAAATACAGCCTGGAAGTCCAAGATCAAGGTGTCAGCAGGTTCGATTTCTCCGAGGGCCTCTCCCCTTGGCTTGCAGATGGCCGCCTTCTCACTGTATCCTCACGTGGCCTATCTTCCAGTGCATGGGCATCTCTGGTCTCTCTCTGTCCCTCTTCTTTTAAGGACAAGCCTATCGGATTAGGGCCCCACCCATATGATGTTATTTAACGTGAATCATCTCCTGAAAGGCCCCATCTCCACACACAGTCACATTCTGAGGTTCTGGGGGTTAGGACAACGGCTGCAGCACGGTTGTCCACCCAGCTGGACATACAGCAAGGGAGCAGGAAGGATCTGTTAATGATATGTACACGCTGAGCCTTGCCCACAGCCCAAGGTCAGGGTCAAGGGCACTCAGGAGCCAGAAGCCCAGCGCCCGGCTCCTGCAAGTGTAAATAAGCCTTCCTCTGAACCCTGGTGGCTTCCTTGGATGTATTTTGGGAAAGGGAATTGAGTATTCCCTCTGCCCCAGCTCCCTGTTGCCAAAAAAGCGTGTGATGGAAAAACCCACCTGGGCTGCGGACAGCATGAGGGTGAGCGAGCTCTCTCGGCCTGCGAGCTGATTTACATTGTGGTTGGTTCCTGCAGTGATGGAGCTTCTCCTCGGCGATTGGTATGATCTGGAGGTTGGCGTCGTGAGGGAGAGGTTTTCGTGATGACTTCAGAAAATAGCAAATGACTGTAAACAAGATGGTATTTGGCTGTTTTTAATTTTATTCAGCTCATGACATCCTGGTCAAATGAAAACCTTGACATTTGGGGCAGGAAGCACGTGGCAGGTGGGAGTGGGTACACTCCAGGCGGGGCTGCAACACCGAGCGAAAGTCCCTCAGGGTGGCCCAGGAGGGAGGCACACGGGAGGGATCTTCAGAAACCGACTGTGGTGACTTCCTCTTCCCGACACAGTTCTCTCCTCCATAAACACCCTCCTCTGCTAGTTGATAAAGGGGCAGGAACAGAGGCTCGGGGCGTGGGGAGTGGACTCCATGGGGACAGACACCAGTGGCTGCGGCAGCCTTCTGGGTGGAGCAAAGCGCACTGTCCTTGCTCTGGGGCCCTGGGTCGTGATGTCAGAGGGACCCAAGGCCTTGACGTCTCTGAGGACAGGCTGTCCTGCTCAGGCAAAGCTCCAAGCGGTTCTCCCGATGGTTCTGGAAAAGGCAAGGAGCTTTCCCGAGTTGCTCCATACCTGGCCTGAAAAAGCAGAGTCCTCCACAGCCTGAACCACAAAGACTTTAGAGTCTTGGTCTCTAATCTACGTTCCAGTTGAAAGAGCTCTGAGCATCACGTGTATCCCACTGGAATCCTATCCTCTATTTGAAAGACAGTGACGTGAAAAATGCGTAACAGAGAAAGCGTAGAATCGTGCCGTGCCCGAGAGGATGGGTTTGCGTCACCCGACCTGGGTGTAAATCCAGGCTCTGACACACACCTGTGACCTTGGACGAGTGAAGGAACCTGTCTGTGAGTGATGAAAGCAGCTACCTCCTGGTGATGTCGTGAGAAACACACACAAGGTCCTGGAACGGTGACAGGCACGTGGGACAAAGAGAGCTTGTGATTGCAATGACTGAACAAAGGTTCTTTTGGAAATCTCACTGGGTTAGGGGAGAGGGCGTGGGAGGAGAGAAGGAGAGAGAGAGAGGCTGTGTACACCTACGTAGGAATGGTACCAAGCAAGGGACAGGCAAACATTGCTGTAGGGCTTCCCTGGTGGCGCAGTGGTTGAGAGTCCGCCTGCCGACGCAGGGGACACGGGTTCCAGCCCTGGTCTGGGAAGATCCCACATGCCGCGGAGCAACTGGGCCCATGTGCCACAACTACTGAGCCTGTGCTCTAGAGCCCGTGAGCCACAACTACTGAGCCTGCGCGTCTGGAGCCTGTGCTCCGCAGCAAGAGAGGCCGCGATAGTGAGAGGCCCACGCACCGCGATGAAGAGTGGCCCCCGCTTGCCACCACTAGAGAAAGCCCTCGCACAGAAACCAAGACCCAACACAGCAAAAATAAATAAATAAACTCCTACCCCCAACAACAACAAAAAAGAAACATTGCTGTAAACACTATGTGATATTAAACATCTCTTTCCAAGCGTGGGCCCATGGCATAGTTGACAGACAACACGTTGTTTTCCTCTCTAAATAGAATATGTTCTACTTCCCTCTCTCTGAGACTCTACGGTCTTGAAAAATCCAGGAAACACCTTTTCAGGCCCTGCCTGGTCTCACCTTCCTCTTTTCTCCATCCTGACAACTGTCCCTGGCTTTGAGTAATCAGCCACCAGCCCCAGCTCTTCTGAGTCAGTGCTGCCATCAGCAGAAATCTTTCCTCTGCCCAGCAGGGGCCTCAAAACTCCTTGGAGTTTGGGCCTTTGAGAAGTCCTCTGGTGTGTGTCTTACAAAGATACTTGCAGATCTGAAAGAGATGTCCCTTCCTGACTCGGGAAAGGGAGGCTTGAAATGGAGGTAGGCAGGAAGGAGGGAGCTAGAAAGTATAAGGAAGAGAAAAGAAGGAAGGAAAGGAGGACGGGAGGGAAAAACAGAGAGAGGAAGAAAAGAAGAGAAGCTACATTTTCAAAGTTTGCTGCTAAGGAAGAAGAAAAAAAAAAAGCAGGGAAGTGAGCCTTTTCATGAAATAGATGTAAAAATACGTGGTGGTGCGCTGAATTGGGCCATTGGGATTGACGTGTATACACTGACGTGTATAAAATTGATGACTAATAAGAACCTGCTGTATTAAAAAAAAATACGAACATTCACAAGAACCAGGATAAATTGAATATGCAGAAAAAGAGACAACTAGAATGCTCCCTGCAGCAGGACAGCACATTGTAAACCTGGTATGATTACCACAATGTTAAAACCAAATAAAAACCGAGGCAGGAAAAAAATGACTTGACAGAAATATTTCCAAAGTGTCAGCAGCGGTGGTCTTTGGGAGGTTGGGGGGAATTTCATTCTTCTTTTTATATAACACAAAGAATGACTAGATAAATTTCAAAGAGATAAACTGGCTGTATTGATTGCCTTCCACCTGGTTATATTTCTACCACTGCACTGATCACTTACCGAAAGTATGTTTCTTATCTCTCACGTCCCCCAAACTAGAAAGTCTCTAAGAGCAAACACCATGTCTTATTCATGGTTGAACCCCCAGGACCTAACATAGTCCCTGGAACAGGGTAAGTTGTCCATCAATACTGCCTCTTTGAAGCTGACCCTCCTTACGAAACCTTCTCGTGGTTCCCCTCTGAATCTAGTCCAGCCCCCTAGCCTGACTCTCCAGGACACCCAAAGGCTGGTTGGAACGTGCCTTGGCCGCGTTATCTCCCCTTGCCCCCCGCCCAGCCCCAGGGCCGCTGTGCTGAGAACACCCCGCCCCCAAGCGTCCCTCCTTTTCTGGCCATGCCCAAAGCACCCTCCCATCTTCCGGTGTTCTAATTTAATCCTGTTTCTCCTGCAAGTACCAGCTCCCACCCCAGCTGCTCTTGAAGCCTGCCCACCACCATACTCAGCGAGGGCCACACTCCGATGTTTCTGGAACTTCTGTGCACGTGTCTTACTTCCCTAATTCAACTTAAAAACAGCCCCAAGCTGTGGTTCACAGGCCCTGAGACCACCTGCAACATCCACCCACCAGTGTCTCGTACATAGACCCTGATGGACATAGAGCCACTGATGGAGGAATGCTGGCTGGGATGAGGGAACTGTGCTGGGTGTCCCCGTTTGCGGTACTGAGAAACAGGTCCATTTCTCACACAGGCTGCTTTGAGGGAGGCCCCTGAACCTAAAAGGGAGAGGTTAGGTCCCCTCAGCCCTTTCCCGGCTGCCCTGCCCCTGCGTCCTTATTTCCTGCTACAGGACACAGATGGGGGGATGACCAGAGGCCCTGCCACACCTCGAAGAAGGACAAGGACAGGCCCTGGTAAACAAAGGACGCCATGCGCTTCAGCCAGCCTTCCGGTCCTCAGAACCACTCACCACAGCCTCGGGAAACTCCAGCATCTGCTGAATCTGCAGGCCGACTGTTAACGTCCACCAGAAAGCATTAGGAACAGAAAGATCGGGTTTGTTTTCCTTTTAATTATAAACTTCCAGTGACTCCACCGTGAGTACCGTCTAAGACATTCTAGACCTTACAGTGCTTTTATCCAAATCTGCCTCTCATTAATCAGATACCATCCAAAGCCAGCCTGTACCTTTCGCTCATGTAGAAAGCAGTGGAAAATCCCTCGCTAAATGCATAAATAGATTCATCCACTTGAGAAGGCTGTACATTTCATCTTATGTGTGTTTTGGATTGACTAATCAGTGAGGTCGTGGGCATCCAAGAGTGACTTTACCCCATCCTGTTTGGACAGGAGGGTTGGCGTCCCAGGGGCCGTGGCTTGAGCCAGCACCAAAGAATGCAGAGCCCCTGGCAAGAGAACAAACCTTCTCCGGCCTCAAGAGCACATCACTGACTCACCGCTCCTTGGTGTCTCTCCTCCCCCCGCGGAGGTGATGTCAACAGTGGCCCTTCCCGGCCTGGAAGACAGAACTTGCCACGTGGAGGAGAGTTGGCCGAGGACAGGCAAATGGGACTTTTGGGAGGGAATTGAGGGAAGCTGGGCTTGCACGGCTCAGAGGAGCAGGAAGCAGGGTGGGCATGCGGAGTAAGCGCCCCAGGGCCTCTGAGCTGTTTGGAAGGCAGTGGGTTCTCCCTTCTAGAACCTGGGCCTGCAGTCGTCCCCATTGCACGCAGATCAGGGCCAGCTCCTCCACCTTCGAGTGTTAAAAACGGGGGCATGGCCTCTGCTTAACTAGCGGGAGGCCTGGGCTGTGACTCATTCAAACTCATCTGAGAAGCTGCAGCTCTTCTGCTCGGGCCCAGACCACCTGTCTCCCAGGTGCTGAGCCTTCCCTGTGTCTATCGGGACAGGCTCAAAGCCAAGGGACCTAAGAGAGCAAACCTGAGATTTTAAAACTGGATGGCCGTGAGCATGAACCTCTTCAGGACTGCCTCTTTCCCCCCGCTCCCACTGGCCTCTCTCACCCCCAACAGGCAACTTGTATCTTCCTGATGTGTCCAAGCCGTTTGTCACCCCCCGAGAGCACCTTGTCCACCGAGCTTCTGGACTGGGGGCTGAGTGGCAGGAAATTAAAGGGACGAAAAGGACCGGATTCCTAATCTTACTTCCCTGAGCAGAGACATGGAATCTCTGTGTGTGTGTGAATGGGACACGCATACTCAGTTATTTCCCATTAAAATTGCTAAGAGCAAAATCACTGCGGGAGGAATTGCAGTCACTGGGGTTTCTTTCATCAGAGACACCTAATCTGGGGCCAGCCCTCTGTGCCCTGACCCTCAGCCCACTCTCTTCTCCATATCCCCCAAGATCTGTTTTGTAGCTCCTGGAGGAGGAAGAAATGTTTGCAACTTAATCTACCTGGTACCCTTCCAGAATTCTGCAGCTGTCCACTTGGAATGGGAAGGAAGCCCCACTGAATGCCACGAAGCCCTCCTGTGCCACCTGGATACTCCTGTGAGGGCGGCCGCCGTGAAGGTGTTGTCACCCATTTGTCAAGGGCCGACAGGGTGCAGGGCAGAACGGAGAGACTGGAGGTTTTGCCCACCCCACAGGCTGACAGTCAAAACGCCTTAGGTGTCCCTGGGGACATTTCCAGCTCAGTTGACATTTTAAAGGAAAATAAATACTCCCAGACAACCGTCTCCTGTTCTTCTTCTCCTCCTTTCTCTCTCTTTGATAATGGAACCAACCCTTGAAGAGGTCGGTAGGGCTGCTTGGGGACAAAGGCCACAGATCCCACGTCTACACCGCAGGGCTGGGCTCGTCCTTGAAACTGTGTCAACTGGAGATCCCGTTGTAGCCAGACCTCTCTTCGCTTCCAGGCAAGGCCTGTAAGGCTTTCTGGCTTTCTCCTGGATCCTGGGTCATTCTAGGTTGATCCGACCCAGGCTGAAGACAAGTTGAGTCTTTCCCTCAACAGCCTTGGGGAAACCTGCCCTTTTCCACTGGGAAACGGGAGCTACAGAGACCTGCCTATCCCTGGGATCCTACCCGGTGCCTGGCATCCCACAGGTTGGCCTGGGCACCTCCCAGCCTGGTCTAACCCTGAGTGAGCTGGCACTGGCTGACCAGCCTAGCCTCAGCCAGCATCCCTGTTGGACTTGGCCTCTGTCAAGGAGGCAGGGAGCCTGAGGAACGAGAAGGTTAAGCAACAGCGTTCTAAGGGCAAATTCCTGTCCCGCGCCTGGTATCTGGGTTCTGAGCCAAGCATGGGCGGCTCTGTTTCTGCTGATTCCTGGTGATGATTGCACGCTGCTTACTGGTTCTCTAGGCCAGGGCATCCCCAACCCCTGGGCCGTGGACCAGTACCGGCCCTGTTAGGAGCCGGGCCGCACAGCAGGAGGGGAGCGACGGGCGAGTGAGCGAAGCTTCATCTGCCGCACGCATCGCTCCCCGTCGCACACATTACTGCCCGATCCGTCCCCCGCACCCCCTGCACCCCCAACCCCGCCTGTGGAAAAATTGTCTTCCACGAAACCGGTCCCTGGTGCCGAAAAGGTTGGGGACCGCTGCTCTAGGCTTCCCTAGATATTCCTTTCCAAAAGAAGGATGTCGGTCAAGGGGCCTGAGAGCTGCTGGCCCAGATTAGGTATCATAGGCAAACACTCCCATCCTAAGAAGATACTAAAGCCCTTCAGAGCCAAACCGGAGCTCTGTTAGCCTTTCCTCTGGGCCCAGCTTAGCTGTCTTGGCCAGGTGTTGCTTAGACACCTCCACGAAGCAAGTGCTTGACATCAGGGTAGCCTAAGCGTCAGACGGGCAGGGCACGGGGTAAGGTTTGGGGCCGGGACTTCTAGTGAGCAGACAAGAAGAGCCTTGAAAGCTTTGCTCAGCTGCACCCCGCCCCCCCCCATTTCTCAGCTCACCCCCTGAGAGTCGCGCCTGATGACGTTGACACGTGGGTTAGAAACGTATGAAAGACGGTCTGAATCTCTTGCCCTCTTCTCTCGGCAAAGCTGACAGCAGAGGCCAAAGCAATCCGCTCTTATTCTAGCTGCGTGAGCTAAGGAAGGCCTGCGCCGGTCCCAGTTTTTACCTGGGATTCTAGAACCTGCCAGGGGCAAACCCAGCACAATCAGTAGCACCCTCTTTGGCTCTCATGAGTGACAGCGGGACAGTGGGTCATCCTGGGTACAGAGGACATGAGGTTCCTTCCAGCCGGGTCGTTTCAGGATGTGCAGAGAGCCTGGCGAGGCTGCAGATGTGGGGGGGATGAAGAAGGGAAGTGGCTTTTCTGCGCTCCCTCGGTGACTCAGTAGCAGGATGACTTAAGAGGATCCAGGAGTTTTGACTAACTGGCTACTCACCCCCCGACCCCGCCCTGCTGACGGGAGGAGAAAGGACAGGAGCTGGTCGGTCCACAGCACTCGGTGGGATGCCAAGATGTGAATAAACTGTGGGAAGGAGACTGGTGACAGAAAATAACTGGAAGACACAAGGAATCCCTAAAAGTATGTTGGTTGAGGAGAGTGCCCTCGTGCCCACACATGTGAGGCAGCTTTAGGAGACCTACCAAGGGGCGGGCCCGTGTGGAGCTGGGTACCCCAAGTGGATGGTGATGATGGGGTATGAGCGCCCACGGGGAGGACGGGAGGGGGAAGGAGTGACGGCAGGAGAATCCGGGTGCCTTGGGGAGACACGGGGCCCTCCTGGCGCTGTGCGCACGGAAGGCCCCGGACCACCTCCAGCCCTAGCCCGGGGTGACTTAGCCAGGAGATGCTGAGCTGGCTTCTGGAAGAGTCTGACCAGGGGGAAGACGGGACACAGGCTGGCTGGGGCCCAGCGTGAATGAGGGGGTGGGTGAGGGCAGTAAGCCCGCCAGGGGCAGAGGGGCTGGGGTTGGGGGAAGGACTGACAGACATGGAAGAAAAAGAAACAAAGGATGTCTGCCCGGCATCCTCATTGTTTCGGTTTTACGGGAAACGTGGTGAAACTCTTTCTTACAAGTGGCAGTTACAGAGGATGGGGGTGGGAGAGAAACCACAGTGATTTTTTTTTTTTCCGGGATCAAAAAAATGTTCTCCCCAAACTAAACAAAGTTAGATTGAGAAATGCAACATGGTACCTTGGGGACCTGGGGCTGCCCTGAGCCTCCCGGCAGGCGCCGGCCTCAGACTCTCTGGGCCGCCTGGGGAGGAGAGGGGACACTTAGACTTTTCAAGGTCTAAACAGTTACGGTTCTCTTGTGGCAAAATAGTCTCTGTTGCCTCCTGTAATGACACTTGCCTCCTTCGGGGGTAGCACCTTCTGCGGCCTCAGCGGCACAGGGGAGCGGGTGCCCTTCTCCCCGCCCCTGACCTGCCCAGGGATCGGACTCCTCCTAAGAGCCGGTGACAGCGGTGTGGTCCCCCTGCATTGACTGCCCCCGGGGTGGTGGCCGCTACGTGACCTACAAGGTGAGCTCCCTGGGATGACAGAGCTGTAGCATCATGAAAGAAACATAGGAATCCCCAAAGGACAAGACTAAACTCTGCCTTCAGAATGGGTCAGGAGGAAAAGTGGGTGCTGGGGGCCTGGGTTGAGCTCTTCAGTGATTTGATTCAATGAAGCCATTCATTTCAAAGCTGCCCTTTTTTTTAAACAAAAAGGTGGGAGTCACTGAACCTTCTTCAGCAAACTGCAGTGATTTTTAAGTGAATAAAAGAAGTCAGCAGCCCTACCCACCTGCTCGTCTGTCAGAAACGATGCATCTATGGTGGGAAACAGTCCGCAGCCTGGAAAACAATTCGCGGCGGCAGCTCATTGTGGCCTCACATTTTTATGGACGTGAAATTCTTGCTCTCCACCGTCTGATTTTTGTTAACTACTGGATCTAAAGCTGGTCAGGTCTTTCTCCTGCAGACCCCTTTAACTAGCATGATATCTTGGATTATTTTTCAGTTGAAGTGGCCCGGCTTCTGTGTCTTATCTGTGCAGCTAGAGGTCCTAGGGGTGAGAGTTTATCTGGGGCTCTGCCCTGGCCCCTCTCTCCCAGGACCCTGCAGGGGGCTGAGCATCGAAGCCTCCCGTGGAAATCTGGGTCCAGAGTGTGGGACAGGGAGACTGGGGGGGGGGGGGGTCCCTGCTGCCCACTCTG